GTGGATGAAAGTGAAGAGGCCGTTATCAGTGAAGTTGAGTTTGTGCTCATGAAAAAGTTAAGAAACCTGAAATCCTCATATCGCAGTGACTACGGAGATTTGGAAAACTTAAAACTAGAATTACAGTATTGTAAAAAACAAGTTGATATGTGTAGACAAAGACTTGTGCAAGGTATGTAGTCGGTCTGTGGTTCACCATTAGAAACTTGGGGGGGTGCAAATAAAACATAAAACAGTGTCACAAATTAAATAATTAAATCACACATTGTCCTGGAAATACGAATCAAGTTTAAAACTAAGTGACCAGAATTTTCTGCTCCCAGTGTTCATAGTTTACCCATAGTTTAGTTTGCACTAAAGCAATATATACATAGCGCCCTCTATGAACAAACATAGAAAATGGCTTACTGTCATTTTTGAACTAGATTTCAATGCTGATATATATACTACAATTGTTTATGTTTCACTGCAGTTAAAATGTGTGACCTATCTAATTTATGCTTTATGAATTTCATAGAAATAACCACTTTAATTTTCTCCTGCTTTTAACAATCAGATTTCATTGATGTTTACCATCATGAGGGTCGGCTGTAATCAATTGTTTTTATTTTCGTAATAATGTGATTTAAATACTGTAAAACATGTCTTTTTAGCAAATTTAGTGAGAGAACTGATTTTCTAATTCAAGATGTCGCTAAAGACTGTATTTTAAATTCAAAATGGCCACCAAACAATGTCTTTTTTATCCACACACACTTTGTAAACAAAAATAAAAATGTACTGACATGATACAGGTAGATACACTTTATTGAAAAGTAAATTAACACAAAAAAATAAACGTATTCATTGTGGTCATTATTTCAATGAAAATAAATAATGAAGTGATACTGATATATTATTACGGTAGTAGTACTTAGTAATTTTCGAGTCCTAATATAAAAGGTCAATGTTCTGGATGTAACGCAGCAATGATACCCGCTTTTTCAAATTCCTGTTGAATCAGTTTTTTATCATGGCGAACAGAATCAAATTACACTTGACAGTTTTTCTTTGTTTTTATGGAGATGATAACTGCGCATTTGTTTTAGCGTGCGACAGACAAGTATTGTAAAAACAGGAAATCAACAATGACAAGAAAGATTCGCTAAATCAACATTGCGCTATTACGTCATTTTACGTAAATTCGCTAAAATTGTCGCTTTTTCAACACGTTTTACAGTAAATAACAAACGTAAATACATAGACATGGGCAAGTTGTAATCCAATATTTTATTCATCCAAAATTTGTACAAATATCTTACTTTTTTTAATCATTATAGAGCATTCTCCACAGTATAAAGTGTAAAATGTAATTAGGAATTTGCTTTATCTGTAAAGTGTAAAGACCTATGTTTTACTGTAAATGAAACTTTCCATTTGATATCCTGTAAAAACGTAAAATGCATTTTGTATTTCCCGTAACCACTACCAGCTATCCCTCCTTGCCCCCTCTCATCATGGCATGTATTTTTATTTGACAATAATGTTCATAAAAAATACTTATCATAAATTAATAGTACAGTATACAACTTTTTTTTTCTTGGATGAACAAAACAGTTGTAAAAACAAAAGAAATTCAAGTTATACTACATGAGGGCATACATTAGGAAATTTTTAAAATATTGTTTCTATTTTAAGACCACCAATTTAGAAGTGCTGTTTTATCCTAATTTGAATATTAAATATATGAGACGAGTTGAAATAATATAAATCTGACAATTTGATTTCATCATATTTGAAATGAAAAGTTTTTATAATGACTGTCTCTGAATTATTTTGGTCTAACATTTACAATCTGATATTTCAACAATATATCAAAAATTCAAATTTTGATTTTGTACCAGTTGTCATACTTCCAGATTACTTGTGGACAATCTTTAGATTATTGACGTATGTTCTTGCATATATTATACATAGTCAAGAGTTCATAAGATAAGGGCTTGTAGCTGGTGTGATGAAGTCATACACATATTGAGTTGTTCACAAAACCGTGTGATAAACACATTTCTAGATATACTTTTCCAGGATTGCTTTTTTTCTAGCATCCATTGATATAAATCTGATGTATGACATGTATATTTTATTACTTGTAATTTGTAGTTTTTTATTACACCTTATTTTGTATTATTTTATATACTACATACATATCATCTTGTTGGCTTTTGTGATTACTATAAAATAAAAATATAACCCAAACTAAGATCTTACTTTGATCAGATTGCTGTTCATATAATGCCATTTGTTGAATGATGTGTTCATAGACTAGGATCTGCACTCATCTTATGAATTATTTATATTCACCTTCAGAGTTTGATGTTTGGTACAGTGAATATTTTCCATCAGTTGAGATGACTGGATATTCTTCTAATATACAGCGTGTGGGTAAAATATACAAATACTTGTAATTTGAAATATTTTTGAAAAAAAAAGTTTTTGAACAGATTTTTAGCAGTTTAGTTGAAATCAATCAGTTTTGATATGGTGGAATGGCATATTGAGAGAGAGTACTGCTGGGGGAACTCTAATATTGAATACCAGTGTAATTGAAATGATTCAATTTCTGGGACTTACAACATATGTGATGGTTACAATTACTACTACTATTACTACTGCAATTGCTATTTTAGTAGCAAATGTAAATTGCAGAGGTCAATTAAGTGATATTTTAATGATACAAATATAAAGATGATTTTGGGTTATTATGCGCTTTGCTTGTATATATGCTTGCAATGAGGAAAATAAACTACTCCAATGTTAAATACTTGACTTATTTGTTTTGTGTAAAATATCCTACAAACAAATATATTGTTTTGGTTTTTATTTTATTTTCACTTAATGTGTAATAGATTGAAGATGAAGATGACCATATTGATATAAAACAGTTACCTAGCAACACAACAGACCCTGAAGCAGTGGCATTCTATAATGCAAAACTACGAACAGAAAGGAGGGTATGTAATGAATGAAATTATGTCATCTTGTGAGTTGAAAGAAATACCTAAATACGTTAAAGTAAATGTTATGGAAACTGAGAGAAAAACATCTTTACATCAGGTTCAAATTATAGTATATAATAGTGTATTATAGTAATGCAGAGCAAGTCACATCAAAAGTATTCTCATTTGGTAGCATCTTATAATATATGCTACTATTAGCATAGTTATCACCTCAAAAAAGTGATGGTAACTATAGATGGAGTGGCAGAATAGTCCAGTCATTAACATTGCCTGTCAACACCAGATAATTAACAAATTTGTTCTTGAAAGCAATTATCATATCGTCTTGTGCAATACCAACCTAACATGGTTGGGACAAGAAATAAAACTTTAAGTTTATTCATTCATTTATTTAAATAAGTCTTGTTTTTCAGAACTTGGCTTTCTCCCTGAAGCAGAGGTGACAATAAAATAATATTAAAATAAAGTTCACAAAATAATAGTGTTATAGTGTTTTTTGCAGGTAATTCTTCAAATTGTATGGGGAAAAATAAACACAATGTGTTTTGCATGGCGAATAATGGTACCTGGTATACTAAAAGTAGCAATTGTAGGTCTTAGTTGCAAATTTAATATCACATTCATGCGACCATACATCACGTGTCAATGTGTCACAGTAATTTCAATCACAGCAAGAACCAGAAAATTTAAGCTTAACATGGGTTTTTTGACATTGTATATTAATACAGGGCTTGATGTTAGAATGTGCATGGTACGTGTTGTCTTATGGATAAACAGAATAAAAGAAGCACTGACACACCTATCCAATGATCAAAATTCCTATAACAAAGTACATATGACATATGACAATAACAATATACATGGGACGAAAGCACATTTACACAATACATAGAACAATGTGTGCAGTGGTTAATGTGCTACACAAGATAAAATGATTGGAAGTGAGAGTGAATAGTGTTGTGCAGTGTTTAGATTGTTTAGTACAAGTATATTCAACTAAAAATACAAAGTCAAACATAATGACCATTTGTTCAATTTCTAGCACATGCAAGAATTGTACTTGTGATTATGTTTTTAATCATATTCTATTCATTTTATTTGTTTATAGCATATTGAAAACAATATAACACGTCAACCACAGCCACAGTATGTAAAGAAAAGAGGTGTGAAAACGTCATCTGGTCAATTGAAGTGACAGTGAGAATACCTCATACAAGTGTCATCTGTACTTGAAATTGATTTCACATATCTGCATAATATCATTAATACCGGTAGTTCATAGCATATTTTTATAGCAAGACAATTGTTCTTGATGTTGGATATCACTGTTGGCTTTCATGACTTTGTTTTATCTGCCAACAGCATTATGTCACATAAACCATATTGCATATTTAGAAGGGTATGATCAGGTCACGTGGCAATGTAATATGCACTATGTCGATGTCAGCCTGACACAGCATATGTGGTCTTTAAGCTTGCACTTGTTGGGGAATTAATCTCGGCTAGTGAGTCATTCACGATACTCCAGATGTGAATGTTTTACAGTATCATGGTAAATATGCCAGTTGGCTGCGAATATATTATTTAAAATCAATACTAGTACAATAAACAACCATTCTATGTATGTATGTATTCTTAATTTGTATAGT